GAAATTAAAGGAAGAGTGTTACTTCCCCTTTAATAAATATCTTGGGCCCCCCAAAAAACAATATTGCTTTGCCATATTAAATTTTATGGGACATGTGCTTGTTGGGATTGCAGCAATATCTTGTAACAAACCAAAGCAAACTGCACTTATAGGCTCCCTGTTGAACACTTTTGCATGGACACATGCCTAGCTCTGGAATTTTGAAATGCCAGCTTGTTTAAAGAAGAAAACACGTCATGCTGTGCACATCCCCTTGTACGTTTCCTCAGAAGAGTCAATGTGTTATTTTATATATTCCATTTTTCATTTCTTGTTACCCCGAAGGCTTGTGCACCATCCGATCAGCTATCCACCCACTCAACTACTGAAGCTCAGATTTCTCATTACACCAATTAGCACTGCTGTGGCTGCAACAATGTTTTACACTAGAAAACAAAAGTGTTTTTCTAATGAGATTGGCTTAGAAATTAGCTGTTTAAATTTAAAACAGAGTTAGAAGTTACTTGGGAGCTGAAATATAGGTATATATTCACAAACTGCACATAGGGCCAAGTATGTGGAAGCTATTTACTTGATAATTACTTTGCTATAAGGGCAATGACCCCAATTGCTTCATTATTTGTGAATACCAAAGAATAAGACTCAGGTGGAGGATATCAAACTGTCAGCCTGTAAGCCCTCAATGGAAAGATTTAAGATCTTAGGAAAAAATATTACAATTCAAGCAGGTTAGCTGAAAAGCAAATTAATTTGCGTTTTTACACATTACAATAAAAAATAATCCTTGCATTTGATATAGCGCTTTTCACATCTTCTAGATGTCTCAAAGCGCTTCATAGAATATACTGTAAAGTGAATTGACTGTATATTTGTGGGCGAAACGCGGTAGCCAATTCCGCACAGCAGTGTCCCACAAATAGTCGTGGATTGAGTGACCAAATTATTATTATTATTATTTTCTTGAGGGATTATTATCAGGCGTGTGGAGTAAGAAAACTTGCCCAAAGTTTCGCCCTGCCGGGAATCGAGCCCAGTTCTCTCACTTGCAAGGCGAGTGCTCTAACCACTGAGCTATAGAACTTCACATTTCGGCTATACATAGACAATATCCATCTGGGGTCGCTAAATAGCTATTGGGAGATAGGAGCCCCTTCAGAAGCACTTCCCCTCCCTATCCCAGGAGCACTGAAGTTAATTTTAATGTTTGTAAACCCAACTGTTGGTCGATTGGCGGATTGCTTTTCTGTGGGTAATGAACCCTCCAAAAATTAAAAATAATAATAATAATTTGATCACTTAATCTACAACTACTTGTGGGACATAGCTGTGCACAATTGGTACTGCATTCCGCCCACAAAAAATATGCAGTAAATTCACTTTACAGTATATTCTTTGAAGCATTTGAGACATCTCAAAGACGTGATAAGACGCTACATCTAATGCAAGTATTATTTTTTAATTATACAAAGATTAAAGATCTTGGAAATGAAGATTTTGGAGCTGAAGTGAAACAAATACTTTATTGTTCTGATGACAGTAGCAAGGGGTTATAGAACCCCTTTCTTTGATTCCCCCGTAGGCTAAACACTCCAAGAAGCTACTCTGCCTGATGGGCGCTATATAAATGCATGTGATTGTTGTTAGATATGTTGCTTGGAAAAAATGTGGCATGTGATAAGGTGTCAGTCTGGCTCATTTGGTGGCACTCACACCTCTGAGTCAGAAAGTTATGGATTCAAACCCCATGTTAGGAATTTGAGCTCATAGGTCAAGGCTGCTGCTCCAAACAATATTGTGGGTGTCCTGCAATGTCAGAGGTGATGTCCTTTGGATGAGATGTTAAACTGAAGTCCTTTTTTGCTTCAACATTAACAATCCAATGGCACAATTTGAACCATTGAATTCTGTCTTAACTTTGAACTCAGTATTCTGTAATTCCTCAAAGAAATCACAGAAAACTAGATTCAAAATTAACACTATTATTTAGGAATTTGCCAAATTCTGCATACTGTAAAACATTTCCTAAATGCAGTAAATCTAGACCCAGTGTAATTTCTTCCTAATATTGTTCTGGGAGGAAACAACTTAACCATCAGGACAACTAAAACAATGCTAGCAAATTCACTATTTTGCCTCTGGGGAAAGAAATTACATAGAATTACATAGAATGATACTGCACGGAAATAGGCCATTCACCCCAATTAGTCTGTGCTTGTGCTTATATTCCACGTGATCCTCCACTCCTCCTATTCCCCTCTCCTATACCCCTCTATTCCTTTCTCCCTTATATGTGCATCAAATGTCTCCTTAAACCTTACTGATGCCTTTTGCCGAAGAAGTCAGTGTGCGTACTAATCTGCCCAATTCCTCCGCTTGTTGGGCAGTGGACTACTTCATATTCTCCCCGCCCTGCCCGCCCCACCATACAAGGCCTTCAGCCTTTCTGCCTCCACCCTCTGTAATGCCATCACAGAGTCTCTTTATCTAGCCACTTCCCTTATCTCCTTCAAGGTCTGTATCAAGACCTTCTTCTTTGACTTGTGCCTTTGGTGATCTTCCCATCCCCTTACCCCTCATCCCTTTTGAATCCAACCCCCAGCTTAGGTGCAAACCCTGAACTGTCCAGTGCCTTGGCATGACCGCCCAACGTGAAAGGTGCTATATAAATGAAATGAATGCAATTTGTTGTTGATTAAATGAAAGAAATTTCAAGTAAAGCAAAGAAAAGTGAATTAAATAATCTGCTAGTGGATGGAATCAAGTGTCAGGCTCCACCACTGTTAAGCACCTGGTGGTAGGTGCTATATAAGTGCAAGTTGTTGTTGTTGTCAACATACTACTTTTCCAGGCATTTGCATCTTGCATTGCAACAAACTTTGATGACTAATATCATGGAGCTCAAATTTGCTGCAATGCACACCGTTACGTTTACACTCTGTGAATGTCTGCATCTGAAATGTAAGGCATCAATTTTGAATCAGTTTAAACAGAATAAAGTAGCATTCAATCTGAGTAAACATGATTCCTATTGAATTCACTTATTCACTTCATTAGCGTAAATGAAGCATTTCTGAGGTAACAAATCCTTATTTAATACTGCTGCGTGAAAAGGGTTACAGTGAGATCAAAATTTATCTATTGCAGCCTGTTACACATCTCATGTTGTTCAGTGATGACCAGCAGGTGTTAAGAGTGTCAGATCTGACCTTGTGACCAAGGGGAATGGTAATTCTCTCTTCTGTAGATTATAAGTATTCTAATCTGGTGAAATGAGATACACACTATGTTGGTGGGGAGGGAGGTTAATGTTGCTGAGATATCACCACAACCGTCTTTCACTTGTGAAGTATTTTAAACCTGAGAGCAAAATGTTAGTCCACTGCTTGGTTTTTTTTCATTGACCCCCCAAAATTGTTTTCACTTGTACAGCATTTTTTGAGATATATGCGTCATCTTTTTAAAGCTTTAGCTCAACATTTCAAGATTTTCTAAAGGGAAATCTATGAAGATTGTAAATCTGACATAAAAGCAAAAATCATGGATATTCACAACAGTTTAGACTGGAGTTTGATTGAAGGGACATACCAAGAACGTGAGCATTTTCAGCAGCATTTTTTCTGCTTTTATTTCAGGATTTTAAAAAAATCACATGTCAAATCATTTAAAAATGCATTTTGAAACAATTGAATTATTTCTTTCGGATTTTATTGCAGGCCTGCATGTGTTTTTTGAGAAAATAAGATTCCTTTACCTCTAAATTTTCCATAAAATTTCTCTTGATTCATTTAAAGCTCTCCTAGTGGGGGGAAGCTCGTCATTTTTCCCAGTTCACAGGACTTAAGAATCTTTGGCAACTGGCCCCCATTACATTTTGTTTTGTCAAAGCCAGTATATATTCACAATAAAACCTGAGGAAGTTTAATAGACACCAAAAAAAATCACAGCTGCTGGAAATCTGAAATAATAACAGAAAATGCTGGAAAAGCACAGCAACTGCAAGAGAAAGAAAGTTAACATTTCGGGTGTGACCTTTTACCAGAATAATAGATGAATGCGAGTGATGGAGAGACAATAGGCCCACATCAGGGTTCAGATGAAGTTTTCATGATGTGTGAAAGATTTTCAAATTTCAGTATACCAGTGTGTAAAGGTTTTTTGTAATAAACCCAGATTGAAGCCAGAATTGATTTGGATCATTGAAAAGAACAGCACTGGATGTTTATATATAAAAATGTGAATAGGTGCAAATGTCACCACCTAAACCTTTAAATGAGATGATCTTCTTGTTATCTATTTCCATTCACCTATTATCAACTCTCTTGAAATATAAGAAAGGAAAGAACTTCCAATTTTAGAGTGCTTTATTGCATTGAGTCTCAAAGCACTTCACAAGTAGTTACTGTCAAGTGTATTATAATAATAATAATAATAATAATCCTTGCATTTGATATCGCGCTTTTCACGTCGGGAGGACGTCCCAAAGCGCTTCACAGAACACACTGTAAAGTGAATTGACTGTATATTTGTGGGCGAACGCGGCAGCCAATTGCGCACAGCAATATCCCACAAACAGATGTAGATTGAAAATGACCAATTTATTATTGTTTTTGGAGGGATTATTATTAGGCGTGTGGAGTAAGGAAACTTGCCCAAGGTTTTGCCCTGCCTGGAATTGAACTCAGGTCTCTCACTTGCAAAGCGAGTGCTCTAACCTCTGACTAGTATTAACTAGTTTATGGGCAAATGCATTACATATTTGCATGGGTCCAAAGAATATCCAATTAATCTGGGAATTTAAACAATTAATCAGGAGGATGTTGAACAGAACACCAGAAGAAACAACCACCATGAATTGCATTTATATAGTACCTTTTTATAATAATAGTCCTTGCATTTGATATAACGCCTTATCAAGCCTTCGAGATATTTCAAAGTGCTTCACAGAATACACTGTAAAGTGAATTGACTGCGATTGTGGCGGACGAACATCTCAAGGCCCTGGACAGTCAAGGATTTTCACCCGATCTGAGGGTTGAATTCAGGAGTGTTGGAGACCAAGGTGGGTGGAGGTGGGGGGAAGATGACCAAAGGTATTGTTAAAGAGGAACGTTTTGAAACAGACCTTGAAGGAGATGAGGTACCAGGCGAGCCAAAGGGGTTTTGGGAAAGAGTTCTGGATTGTGGGGGCAGATAGGCTGAAAGCCAGGCCCTTGATGGTGGGGCGGGGAGAACGGTGGACATGAAGCAATCCAGTGCACATCGAGCCGAGAGAGTGGGCAGGTTGGTAGAGCTTAAGAATTGGTAGGGTTTAAGAGTGAGCAGATTGGTTGGGTTTGCGTTTGTTTGTTTCCTTTATTACCTTACTAACTATCGTAAATTGATGCCCTCTCATCACTGACTCACCGACCAGTATAGGTACTTTCTCCCTATGCATTCTATCAATCCCCCTCCTCATAATTTTAAGGACCTTCAGGGAACTCAATGCAGGAGAGAACACAAGTTGCAGAGTTCTGGATGGTGTGCAACTTGAAGAGGGAAGAGTTGGGAAGTCTATCAATAAACCCTGTTCTCTCTTCTAATAATGCTATAGGATCTTCAATACCCATCTGAACATACAGACAGAACTCTTCCATAACCCATCTGAAGGAAGGTACCTCCAACAAAACAGTACATCCCCAGCCCTACCCTGGAATGTCAGCAAGTGCGTTCAACATCTTAACATGAGGTTAAGACAAGAGGAACTGGTTCGTTTGGTTGGGAGGAGATGTAATAGAGGTCTTTACAATTATGAGGGGATCTGATAGAATAGATAGGGAGAAAGTACCTTCACTGGTTAGTGAGTGAGTAACAAGAAGGCATCAATTTAAAATACTACAGTTGGTAAGATAACAAAGGGAGTAATATTTTTACTGAGTTGTTAGGATATGGAATACCCTGCTGAATGCAATGGTCAGGACAGTATTCATATTAGCTATTAAGAGGGAACTAGAGTAGACAGTTATTTAAAAAGATATTATTTACAGGGGACCGGAAGGAGCCAGTGCAGACGTGATGAGCTGAATATCCTCTTCTGTGTGTAAATGCCCATAGTTTTATGGTTATATTTCTGTTTCTTAATATGTAAGAAAATCATCCACATGTCTTACATTTTACATTGATTGTATTTGATTTATTATAGCACGCTGAGGTACATCGCCCATATGCATGAAGCAGGCTGGTGTTTGCTGAGTGAAAGGATGGTAAGCACCTTGCGACGTCCTCCTGTCGTGAAAGATGCTATACAAATGTAATTTGTTGTTGTTGGCAGAGGTCAAGTTGAGGTCAAGACCGAGGCCTTGAAGGGACTTAAACATGAGTACAATCGGCAAAGGTTGGTAAATACATCCACATGGAGTTCTGTAGAATATTGGCTAGAGCACCCGCCTTGCAAGCAAGAGAATCTGGGGTCGATTCCCGGGTAGGATGAAACCTTAGGCAAGTTTCCTTACTCCACATGCCTCTGTTTACCTAGCAGTACCAACAACAACAACTAATGACAAAGTGGATGAGAGTCATCCAAAACTCTGCCGCCCGCATTCTTACCCGCACCAAACTCCGCTCCCCGATTACCCCAGTCCTTGCCAGACTGCACTGGCTGCCTGTCCCAGAGAGGATCAACTTCAAGATCCTCAGTCTCGTCTTCAAATCCCTCCACTCCTCTGCAGCCCCCTACCTCTCTGACCTCCTCTCTCCTCACAACAGTGCCCGTTGCCTTCGCTCCACCAGGTCTGTCTTTCTCCTTGTCCCCCGGGTCCTCCGCTCCACCATCGGCAGCTGTGCCTTCAGCCACTACTCCCCAAGGCTCTGGCACTCCCTTTCTCACCCCCTTCGCCTCGCCCCCTCTCTTCCTATTTTCAGGTCTTGGCTGAAGACCTTTCGTTTCGACCGCGCCTTTGGTCACCTTCCTCTCCGTCCCCCTGGCTCGGCCCCAGGATCTGTTACTGTGAAGCGCTCCGAGATGCCGTCCGGCGTGGAGGGCGCAAAATGAATCCAAGTTGTTGTTGTTGTTGTTGAGTGAACTAAAGGTGGCTGACTAAGGAGGAGGACTTACACAATCTGGTGAGGGAAGGTCAGGAAGTCACCGACTAAAGGGCATCACTTTCATTTGCCCACATGCATTTGCCATGGTAGCTGAAATAAAGAACTGAAGAGATCAAATGCTGAGAAGAATGCATTCAAGCTTAAAACAAGTTTAATTGAAATATTATTCCTGCAGAGTATTCCATGGTAAGATTCTTTTACCCTTGCAGTTTGAGACTGAAACTGAACTTTGCGTTGAAGGAGTCATGAGACTAGTTGATTGTCAGGCAAGGAAAGAAGAACCCTGAGGAGCACCATATGCAAGAACTGGAGAAGATGTGCCAGACAGTACTCCAAGATGTCACTGATACCATTAGAAGCCTGGGGAAGTGTCGTTGTGGAATCAAATCCAATGTGGGAGACACGATAATTATTGGGGATTCAGCATCTGAAACTGTAGCAGAAGAAATGACAGTATTACATATATTCAGAAATGAATGAAGAAATTAGAATGATTTAAAAGGATGTTTTTATGCCTATTTCAGGAATAAAAGCACGTGCTGCTGTTTTGTATCTTTTGAAGTATTTCATCTGTTTATGCTCTGGGATGGATATGATGAACCAGTTACTATGGCAATCAGCCTTCTCTTTCTTTTCTGCCACTAATCGCTGTATCATTACTATCTTGTATGCCCTTCGTTTGAATGTGTAATGGCCATCTAGGAAATATGCATCTTAGTTAATTTATCTCAGTGCTGTCTCTCTTGTGCTCCTCACATAATTTAAAGTTTGAGCAGCATAATACAAAGATTTAAGCAAAATGCTTAATTAGATAGTTTTTTGAGGTAATTATCAAACACATCTTCAATTTGAAATACATGAGGTGGCAATCTATGCCGCTAAAAGAGTCAAGGATTTCTCTTCTTTGACACAGTACATTTGCTTCCACAGTCCAGCAGTTTCAGAACTGACACCATGGGAATTATTCTTCACATGTAATGATAATAATAATAACAGTAGTCTTTGCATTTGATAAAGCGCCTTATCATGTCATTGAGACATCTCAAAGCGCTTCACAGAATATTCTGTCAAGTGAATTGACTGTATATTCTGCGGGCAAACTACAGCAGCCAATTGTGCACAGCAGTGTCCCACAAACAGTCAAGGATTGAATGACCTAATTTTATTCCCCTGGAAAGCGTTCTGCCAATCGACTAAGAACCGGGTTCCTACTTACATATTCCTTCTTGGTGACATCATCCGCAGACATGGGGTCAACTTCCACAGTATGCTGATGATACCCAACTCTATCTCTCCGCCTCCACTCTCGACTCCAGGACCATTGCTGTCCTGACAGAATGTCAGACATCAAGACATCAAGGATGGGAGCTAACTTTCTACAGTTGAACGTCAACAAAACTGAGGCCCTCCTGATTAGCTCCCGACAGCAGCTCCTCACCTCAGGCACTGGCAGCATCCACGGTTGCACACTCCATCTCATGCCTGAAGACCTTCCTTTTCCTGATCGTCAGTTGGTCACCTTGCCCTGCCCCCGGCTTGGAGTCGCACTATACCACTGTCAAGCACTTTGGGACGCTACCCTGCGTGAGGGGTGCTATATAAATGCAAGTTATTGTTGTGGTCATAATTGTATTTTGTAAAGAGTTGCATAGAGAGGATGGAGCAAAGAAAAGGCCCAGTGGCCAGCAAGTCTCTTCCTCAGAGACAACTCTCCCTCCATGTTCCACAGAATAGTCACCTACACATCACCCTTTACGCTGGCAAATCGGCACATTGAGTCTGTGTTATGATTAGACAGTAATATAAGAGACTCCTTATTCTGCCTGGTCAGTGGACATTAAAGATCACATGGCACTACTTGAAAAGAGAAGATGACAACGGTTTCTATGAGGTGGCAGCCTAGATCAGTTAATAGCACTCATTTCTGAAGCAGGAAGCTGTGGATTTGACACAGCAAGTAGTTATAGCTCTTTGTTTGAGATGACACTGCAATACAGTGCTGGGGGAGCACTTGCTGGAGGCGCTGGCCCTAGGTGTCCTGGCCAACAATCCCCCAATATAAAATTGTTCATTCACTTCATGACTGTTTGTGAGACTTTGCTGTGTGGAAATTGGTTGCTGCATTCATCCACATGAGCACATAGATACTGCATTTTACAGAATGCCCTGTAAAGCACTTTGGGATGTCCTCCTGATGTGAAAGATGCTGTACCAAATGTATTATTATTATTAGTAGTAATAAGAATGGAAGTGTATTCTAATTGAATTGGATGTCCTCTGCTAGATAAAATCATCTAAAGAGACTCAGAAGAATTGTATAATGTTGCTAACAAACTCTTTAAAAAGACACTGTTTTAAGATGTTATCAAGTTCCCTCAGCATCTCTCCATGTGTTCTGATTTTTATTTCTCTCAAAGCTTATGATGTTGAACTCCATGTGAGATGCAGTATGCCTTTTCCATCATTATCAGTCACACTAAGTATATCCTGCCAAACCATTACTTTTCTGCCTGTAAATTTTATCTATTCCTGAAAGATCAAAGAAAAAATGTGCATAGATTTAGTGACCAATTCTAAACTGGGTGGGGGCATAAGAAGCACATCAAACCTCAGAATAAAAAAAACATTCATGATCATGTTCCTACAGTGTATTGTGAGGACAAATACGAGGAGTTGGTGAGTCACAGCCAGACTTCGCTTAATGAACTGACCAGAGAGTTAAACCCCCTCAGCTCCCACCCGCAGCTTGGGTGTTGAGCTAGCACTGTTGACTGCTTTGTGACATCTTCCCGAAGTGAATCGCCTTCCTGGCACTGTATAAATGCAAATTTGTAATACTTTAAACTGATTTCCTGGAGTCAAATCCACATGCCATAAATACACTGTTTACTTCGCAAACTACCCATGTACACGTTGTAGAAACAAAAATATAAGTTTTGAGCTGTGGTGTCTGGATGCAGGATTTAGATGCATGAAATGCGACTCTAATCTTCGCTTTCTGTTGGTCTTGTCAAATGGAGAGCACAAACTCTCAGTTATGAAAGAATTTACTGTACTTGCATTGCTTAATGAGGAAAGCCTTATATTGCAGTCTAAATAATAATAATAAAAAACCTTGCATTTGATAAAGCGCCTTATCATGTCTTTGAGCCGTCTCAAAGCGCTTCACAGAATATACTGTAAAATGAATTTGACGGTACGTTTTGCAGGCAAAATGCGGCAACCAATTGCACACAGCATTGTCCCACAAACAGTCGTGGATTGAAGTGACCAATTTGTCATTTTTTTAAGGAATTATTACCCCCAGAAAAATGATCCACCAATCAACTATCAACCGGGCTTCTACTTACTGCTGGTTAAACAAAGGCATGTGGAGTAAGAAAACTTGGCCAACATTTCGCCCTGCCGGGAATCGAACCCAGGTCTCTCGCTTGCAAAATGGTAAATCTACCACAAGCAAAGAGACAATGGGCCAAATGTACCCTCCTATGTTTGTATATTATGCTATAATAATAGATCAATATACAGTATATGTATGATATTAAGATTGCTTCTTCCTCTCATACTATTAACAATTAAAAAAAGTTACTGCTTAGGACTCCTATGTGTGTTTATAGAATGTTTTGGAAATATGTCCAAGCTTATTGTCCCAACAATGGTCTCTATGAAGTGGCAGCCTAGATCAGTAGCACTTGTCTCTGAAGGAAGAAGCTGTGTGTTCAAGCACAACATTGGGACTTAATGTTCATTGTCTAAGATGACAGTACAATACAGTGCTGGGGGAGCAGTTCATTGCTGGAGGTACTATCTTTCAATGAGATGTTAAACAATGGTCCAATCCCACAGATAACATTGAAATTTACTTAATGGCTGCCCATGTGGGACATTGCTGTGCACAAAATATCTGCTGCATTTGCCTACAAAGTATGCAATCACTGTACCTTTCAGCAAATCTGTGATGCACATTGAGATGACCTTCCGACATGAAAGGCTCTATATTAAATTTTACAAAAGGACTCGGTAGCATGGGGGTAAACCCACTTCAAGTAGTACATGGATATTATTGTTCACTCGCAGATGATCTGTAAAGGTAGCGTGCAGGCCAGCAGCAGTGTATTAGATTGTGACTGATGGGGGAAAAAGTGAATTTACTGGATTGGCTGTGAGACTGCTGCAGACGAAAGGGCTTCAGAATTCTGGATTCTAACACAACCAATGGTATCCGTGTTGAGATTCATGCCTCTTCACTGAATAAAATAGCTTACCACAGCAGGAAGGGATTTAATGTGTAGTTGGTGGTGCCAGTCTAGACCTCATTGTTCAGCTGATTCAGCCCACTTGCCTTAGTTGCCACCTTGAGGTCTATAACTTTTTATCACTAGACTGAAGGTTGAGACTGCCAAGATCCTCACAGTACATGACCAATTAAGGGGCCCACTTTATAAAGCAATTTAGATCTCCTCTTACTGTACTTAGTGCTGTTATCCAATGCTAACTGACAAAGGTCAAGTACAAAACAATAATAAATTGGTCATTTTCAATCCACGACTGTTTGTGGGACGCTGCTGTGCGCAATTGGCTGCCGCGTTTTGCCCACAAAAATATACGGTCAATTCACTTTACAGTCTATTCTGTGAAGCGCTTTGAGACGTCGAGAAGACATGAAAAGCGCAATATCAAATGCAAGGATTATTATTATTATTAATATTATAATGCTATTGGAGAATTGGTCAAAATGAAAATAGATCCCACAATCTTTATGAAGCTTTAATATAAAACTCCTACTACCCGATATGCAAATATGGGGCAGCATAGGCAATTTCTGTGGGTAATCTAAATTACTCACTTTGAATTAACCAATTTGTCAAAGAAGTGACTGGGATCATTGACTGCTACAACACAGATTAGGTAAAAGGTCACAATTCACTCATGTCTGGCATTACATGGTTTGTGTCTGTCTTAGTTATCGACTCTTCCCCATATGTGCTGTAAATTGGGTACTTTGTATATGTTCTGAACTGGGAGAGCTGTGTTTTTAGAGCGACACTAGCTGTGTTGTTAATGGTGGAGTCAGTATTCATTCGTAATCATTTCAGCTAGACACACTAGTTGTATAAATGGTGCATGTCGCCCACACGTAATGGTGTATGTCACCTGTAAAAATGGTGCGAGTCTCCCATACAATATACATGTCACAGCAATGTTGCTCTTTACACTGTGTAGGTTTCAATAGATGGGACTTTTTTATCCATTATTCAGTCCAAAACTGACTGTTGCTTTTAGACAAAGTTGCTATGTGGGTGGAATTATTTCTGTTGGAGCAGCCAATTCTAAAGCCAAACAATAAAAACAGCAGATGTAGCAGAGAACTGATACTCAGTGTTGGGGATGGATGCTGACAACTGTGCTGTTGTATAATAGCAGCAGATTTTCATCAGAGGTGCACAGGTCTTATTTCTCTTA